ACTCTGGAAATAATCATGAGGACCAGGTGCCTTCTTCTGGGTCTTCCCACCAATATGACCATGTTGCGAAAACAAGGTCAAACAACTTCTATAAAATATATAAAATTAAAAGAATAGAGCATAGGGTTGAAAATTAAGTTTTATCAAGTTGAATATGGTTAATAAGCTATGCCAGTCGGAAAATAAAAAGGACAATACCTTGTCTAAAATTGGGAGCATCGTTGCTAAAAAATATCAAGTGAATGATGCAAAAGTTTGGGATATCTTCATTTGTTGTTTAGAGAAAACATCTGAGAATCGCCAAGTAATGAACCATATGGTAACCTGAATGACTTAGATTTGTCTAGAGAAACTATAACCAAGAGCATTCTTTCGAGGTCAGACTTAAAAACTAGGCAAAGACTAGACAATCCGCCTTAAACGTGAATTGCTTGGGGAACCTTATAGCTTTATGAGTGTGAGAGATCATTAACATTTGAATTACTTGAGGTTTGGTAAATTATTAAAAATACTTGCTTGGTTTAGGTATGGCAAAGTTTTGCGAGTGCTCATATTAAATTGAAAGGAGAGTGAAGCATATAACTTTGAGGTGTGGTAAATCATATGCAAGAAATGGCTGACCTGAGGTTATGGGGCGGTATATTGAAAGTCTGATCGGTGTAACCTAAAAGCAAAGCTAAATGTCGTTGAGCTTTGCTCAAAGCCTTTTTGTCCCGAAGTTCGTCACGATTATCGCATCCTCCAGGGCCTCCTCCACTGCCTCCCGTTGCGACGCCCAAGACGCCAGCTTCATCACCTGGGACTCCAAGAACGCTTTTACCACTAGAAAGGCTTGCTCCAACACCAACACCTGTTGTCAACTCGAGAGAGCCAACTGCCATATTGGGACCACCTCCATCCAACTTTACGGTGGCCATGAAGTTGAGCAAGAGGCGGACCCATTGGTTCAGTGTACTACGATCCTCACCCTCCAGATCAAGAGAGAACTGCAATGAGCTAAAAAAGCGGTTGTTGCTGTCAGTGAACTCGCCAAATTGACCTCCTGAATACATAAAAGTTGAGATAAAGGTTAATTAGAATAGTAGATATTGGTGATTTAACAAGTTTAGGCACCTTGGGCAAATTATAGATTTGTAAAAAAATAGATTTCGAAGAATCCTCTAATATATTGAGTTTGTAAAATCTTTCATTTCGCTTGGAAAAGTAGGAGAAATGTCTAAGTTGACCTAACTTGAAGCCAAAGGATGATTGTCTTAAAGCTGTGACTATTTTGTCCTCAGCTCACCATTTAGTGACCCCGATGATTCCTTGCTGAGTTTTCGTCCATCATATGATGAACATCATCAGAGCAGGATACCATGCTTTAACACAATTTACCAAACACAAGAATGATGGTCGGTTGCAATCCTACCAACTTCTTATGGCCCAATCTTGTCCACTCAATGAAATATCTCAAGATTCGGTTGGGCACTCTATGCCTTCCGTACAGAATTGCCGCAAATTGAAGTAGCCACAGATGACGCATGAAGTGGATGTACTTGTGAGCGAACAGCTATGCCCTTGTTGGGGAGACTTTCATTTCGTGTGAAAATGAATGAAGAATAGTCTTCGACTGATCTTACGAGAAGACGACGACTAATTCCCGTTGTACTGCAGCCGTTTGGCTTTAATACGACGTTCAGGTTGAAGCAGTAGTCATCTTTTAGTGAGATCGAACTTCGAATCTATTCATAATGCAATTTTATAGAAAATGAAAGTCTCCACCAATATGTTATCTTAGAAAATTCATCGAAACTCAGTTACTCTACATATATAGAGCTAAATCCTTCCATAACAGCCGCAACCAGTTCCCGCTTAGAGAAGGAACAAAATGTACCACTTACCAAGAGGCCTGATTAACCCCAAATATGATTTTTTTTCCTCCGTACCCCACGCGACTTACGTCATTGCCTACACAATACATTTGCAATTGAATGCCATCACATTTGTCATTATTAAAGGATAACATATTAAGGATTGGAAAGGATGCAACTGTTTGCTCAAAGTGAATCTACTTCCTGAGTCATCCGTCGAAGAACTTTTCGAATAAATCTAAAGTCATAGTTATGAGGCAAGCATCCATCGGCTTCCGATGAGGTCAACTTACGAATTTCTTCCAATCTCAAATTAAACATAATGAAAGGTACTCAAAAAATGGTAAAATTGTGTTTGATGAAGCTCAAGGTGAGGTGAAATCGACCAGAACGTTATGCGATAGAAAGGTTAACACAGCAATCGGAGAATTTCAAGGCATAGTTAGCACTAATTTGAAGACGTCTAATAGTTCAAAGTTAAAAAATGATGAAAATTTAGAGTATTCATCTTTACAATTCATTACAACCTATCTTTAGGAAGTTGTTGCTGAGATTCAAATTATTAGTTTAACTACAAGATCTTCAAATAATCATATGAAAATTCCAGAGCAAGAGAAATACCCTGACTCATTTAATCACTTCACTTATACCGTCTATTTTCAATAGCAATAGGATTCCCTAGACAGCTGTATGACGATGGTAAAATGAAGACAATTCGATTTAACAAAGAGGGCAAAGGTAGTATAAAAGTATAAAAGTAACTAAGCCCTTCCAGCAAGAAACTCAAACTTCCAGAGATAATATTAAAAAATGAAGTTCACATGAATTGAGTAAAACCAAAGTGAGACCATGACAACCAATAATATCGCTAATATAATTGGTTAGATCCTCAAAGCCTCATCCCAGAAAATTGTCTATGGAAATTATGCAGCTCCAAAGTACAGCATCGCATACACAAAATTGAGCAACATAAGAGAGTTATATATAGGAACCAAACCTTAACTACCCAGCCAGAGAATTTAGATACATTGAGATTTAAAAATGGTTAAGCATCGCGCAAAACTTGGAGCCCGCGAGTTGATGTGTGTGTGGCAACCAGTGAGGCAGGAAGTATTGTGCAAATGAAAGGAAGCATGGACTCAACTAAAAATTGAAATATCCTAAAAATTTAGGAACTTAATTTTGAACAGGTAGAATAATAGGTGACCATTTCCTTACGGAGACTCCGAAGAACGTACTCTTTATTGTGACCATTGCAATTGCTGGCATGTGTGTTTAATTAATATTAGAATTGGTACATTCTCAAAAGTTTAATCGGCATTGTCAGTGAGGCACGCCG